ATCAGTATTTTTGTAAAAACTGTACAGCATCAATCTATAATGCAAACCAATGCTTTGATAATTTTTTTGTTTTAAATTGTAGCAAATCTAGTGCAAATGTAGCCCATTTGTTAATGCTGATTATTTAGCATGTATGTTAATTATGGCTTAACTTTTGGTCAGTTAATTGACAATAAATAATTTGGTGCTTGTCAGCTAATTAGTTTACAAATTTACTTTGGTAAATAATGATGGCTCTTTTACAAAGCTCAAAGGCTTGTTTATTTTTATTTGGTCAATTGCAAACTCACTTTTTCAAGTAAGGACTTAAATTTGTTCAATAATGGCACTAAATTTACAAATAAATAAATATTTAATAAATAAATAAAATAATTAGCATTTTTGTCAACACATTAGCATTTGATAATTTCAAAGAAGTTCATTAATACCGTGTGTGAATGTGTCTTTGGTACTTTGGCGCCTTCTTGGTCCTCCCTCCTACTTTAATTACTGGTCTCCATATGTCATAATCATAATCTTCTGCTATAATCACTGCTCTTTTTCTTGGTCCTTTTTGAAGCAATAACCTTGGTTGCCATTTACTACTAGCAAGGTAATATTGAAGAATTTCTTCATAAAGTTCTTTGTCAATAGCTTTTTTATATGGTTTGATTTTTTCATAGAAAGATTCAGATGAAATTTGATTAAATCTAATTAATGGAATAATATCAGCCAATAGAATTTTTAACTGTTTAAAATCATCCTTATTCCAATCTGTAATATTTTTTTTCAATTCTTGTTTTTGTCCAATTCCCCATTGAATAACATAATCCCAAATATTAATTTCATCTAATTCCATATCATCTCTTTTTAATATGGCTATAAATGCTGATTCATCAATATCTTTGAAATCATTAGATTTTAAGAATAATTCTGGATTCTCACAAATTAATTTATTACAATGAGCCTGCAATATGCTGAACAATTGATGTTTTGATGAAATTTTTTGAACATAAATTAAATTTTGTTGAATCCATTCTTTTTTATTTGTAATTAGATAATTTTGTAAATCATCAATTAATTCATTAAAGTCCAATTCATCACATGCTTCAAGAAGTTCAAGAATTTCATTTGGATTCAGATTATCTATATTAATAATTCCATTATAAATAAATCTTTTAAAATAATAAGGAGAAAAAATTAACAATTTTAAAATATTGTTTATAAAATAATCAAAATGAATAAATTAATTAATCCTACTTTAAAAGAACCTCAAATACTGTTGGAGAAATATTCTCTTTTTCAAATAAAATAATCCCATGATCAGAATTTTTAATCCAGTTGGCTGATAAAGCTGTTTTAAAATATGTGGATCTTGCTTTTAAAATATTTGAATGAGCTTTAAAGGTTTTAACCTCCTGTTCTGTTCCAACTCTAATCTCCACATCATAGGCATCAGGTTCATTCAGCAATTTTGATAAATCATTTACAAGTTGGCTAATATATTTTAATGGTAAGGTATCCTTATTGGAATTGATAAAGTTGTTAATAATTGTGTTGATATTTTCTAAGGACGAAAAACTATTTGACATTTTGAAAGGTTTGAATATTTTTTTTTGCTGAGAATTTCAAATGAACGCACGTGTTTATGAGAATTACAACTATTGGTTCATTTATATTATATATATGGGGACCTATCGGCATTTTTTTAATCAATTTAATACCGAGATAATTTTTTTTAAAGTTGTAAAAAATACTAGTAAAATAACATTACTATGATGAGTTCAATCAATATGTAATTAATAAAATAGTTCATACAAAACTGATTCAGAACGGGAAACCATTAAAATGAACTAAAAATGATATTTAGGAAAATATCAAGAAGAATATCCCAAGGACAAAATTTATGTATATTCAATTTAGATATCGAGAAGATTTAGGTAATTAATGTATAACTTGTGATTTTTTACGGTTATCAGGTTTTATTCATTAACATTGCTTCAGAATTACATTTAGCAGAAAAAAATAATTTGACAATAAAATAGATTCACTTAAAATTGGTCCAACATATTTCACGTTTGAATTATTATTTTGGGGATATAAAAAAGAGCATCCGTATTTTTGTAAAAACTGTACAGTATTATTAATTTACCAATGCTTTCAAACTTTCAGACATTGAATAATTTTTTTTATTTTCAATTGTAACAAATCTAGTGCAAATGTATATAGCACATTTGTCAATGCCGATTATTTAACAAGTATGGCAGATTATGGCTCAAGTTTTGGGTCACTCTTGTCATTTAATTGACAATAAATAATTCAATGCTTGTCAATTAATCAATTTACGAATTTACTTTGGTTCTCGTTCTCGGTTACTTCCTCTTTTTTGTACCTAGAAAGCTTTGGTGAATCTGTAAACACACTCAACGGTATAAATAAGTAAAGATAGCTCTTTACAAAGCTCAAAGGCTTGTTTATTTTATTTGGCCGATTGCAAACTCGCTTTGGTTTATTTGCACAACAACCTAAGCAGCTTGTTTAGCAGCCTTTTGTCTATACTACCCTCTGCTTACTCACCAAAGTAAATTATGTTACTAATCGTTGTTAACACTCACTAGTTACCCGAAGTTAGTCCTAACTTTTGCTTATTCACCAAAACAAATAAAAACCACTTAACGTTTATTTTAAAAAATATTGATTTTAAAGGCTAATGTGGTATTTTTTTCCCCCGCTTTTCAAGCAAGGGTCCAAAGTTGTTCAAAAATGATAATAAGTTTACAAATAAATAAATAAATAGCATTTTTGTCTCCATATATTAGCATTTGAAATTCATTAATACCATGGGTAACTCTGATTGTGGTTGTATTTTGGCGAAATAGATGTATGAACAGCGTCTGCGGAAACGAGACTAAAAACAGCGGTAGTATGAAACTGCTGGTCATCCCGGACATCCCGATCGTCTTGGTTGCCGTGAGTTCTGATCTCCATCGTGTGGTTTCTGCTTGGTAGTGCCATTCTTACATTCTTCTTGTTCTACTACAGTTGTTATTCTTTGTTCTTGGTCCTTTTTGAAGCAATAATTTTGTTTGCCATTTAATAGTAGGATGATATCAAAGAATTTTTTCATAAAGTTCTTTGTCAATACTTTTTTAATGTGGCTTGATTTTTTTCATAGAAATCATCAGCCAATAGATTTTTAATTGTTTAAAATCATCCTTATTCCAATCTGAAACATTTTTTTTTCAATCCTTGTTTTTGTTCAATTCCCCATATTAATTTTCATCTAATTCTATATCATCTCTTTTTAATAAATTTTATTTTACCATATTTAGAATGATTATTATTATCCATTTTAGCCGTTAACGTCACTGCTGATTGCATTTCCAAAAACTATAATAATAATAGATTTACTATCACATATTGCCTCCCTAACCTAATCAACCAGTCATAATGTTTATATTTTTGGATTTGATTACGATGAGATCATTTCTAAACATGGTTAAGTAACTTTTAAATTTAGAAATAATCTAAAATTTATTTGTGAGGACTCTCCAATCATCAAGTCATCTCAAAAAAAATTTTTTTTTCTCTAAAAAAATTTTTTTCTTTCTCTTAACAACAACAAAGTAATTTATAATGATGTATGTATGATGAGTAAGAAGTACCAAATATTATTTTATTAATAATAGTTTTTGAAGCGATGATTAGGAGATGATTTTTTTTTTACAAGATAATTATTAATTGACAGATAAATTTTTTTTTATTTTAATCAGGAAATTTACTTTTTTTTATAATTTTTACAACTAATTCCAAATGGTGGTGAGTGTATTCATATTATTATAAATATACCTTGCACACATGCACACATTCACAGTGTATATATATATGTATTTATGTGAGAGAGGTGATGAAAATATTCCGTCTATTCGCAGTTTCCACCGAAAGGTTTAATAACCTAATGATGGCGAAGTTCACCCTTCCTTGGATGTCTGATCTCCATATAAATATAAATATATATACGTGTATACATATCCCGTATAAATAATTATCAATTTATTAATTAAAAAAATTTTTTAAATTAATATTTTATTATTATTTAGATTTTTAAGTCTTAACACTCACAACTTGAACTACCTACATTCATCCAATAAACTTTATAAATCAGTTACACGAATCATTTAAAACCAAAGGTTAGTTTCTCTTTATATATTATTTTATTCCTTCATCAATCATCATTATCATCATCATCATCATCATCATCATCATCATCATCATCTTAAATAAAAAAAAAAAAGGAATGAAGAAAAATAATCTATAAAATGAATAAACGATAGGAATTGCCGTCTGATAAAATTAGATGAGACAAGGTTCTCTGACCTTTTTTTTTTTTTTCATGTTCAAACATTCTACTTTTTAACGATTAAAAAAAATTTTTTTTTTATAATATATAAAATTTTTTTTTTTGCGTTTTATTTCATTCATTTATTCTATTTTAATTTTAGAGTAAATCAACCTCAACAAAATAGTAAAACTCACGGTGAAAGAAACCCAAATAAAAAATTCCTTGGAATATTTATTGCGATGCGATTTTATATCCGTATGGTATTGTTAATTACAATAATAATTAATATTAATATATTAATATACAAAGCGGATAATACAAAAGCTAAATATTGAATGATCCGCCCTATGGATCATATGAATCAAGTAAATGATCGACATATTAATAATTGGAAAAAAAATTGCTAAAGCAATTTCTGCATGAAAAAAAGTTGACCTACTACATAAATTTTTTTGTGTGTGCGTGTGCACATGGAAGATTATTGATATAATTATTATTTTTCTTTGCATGTATTGAAAAAATTTTTTTTTACTTGTTTTTCTCCGATTCATAATAATAATATTAAATCAATGGGTTCATAATAAAAATGATTTACAAAAATTATCACCATATATACAATGTACAAATGTGCATAAACCCATTCTAAAAATTTTTATTTATAAATTAAAAAAATTAAAATATGGGAGTTGCCTTAGGTAAACAGGAAATAGAAGAAGAAATGTCAACACAAAATACATTACAATTAATTTCCACCGATCAAATAAACGATGAATTGAGCAATGAATTTTGCAAAAGAACATATCTAAAGTGTAAGAAATGTCAGAAACCGAGAACCGGGTATAGTTGGTGTCAAAGCTGTGAAACAAAAATATTCGAACAACAATTCGAGTCATGGACAAGTGGGAATGAAAAATTGGATGAAATGATTAAAAGTTCGCAAAAACTTGCTCGAACTCACACTGATTATTTGGAATGGATACCTTTTGGAGATTTTGAAAATGATAATTTACAATATTTAGGCGATGGTGGTTATAGTAAAGTGATTATGACGAATTGGACCAAGGGACCAAAATGGTCATGGGATGAAGAAAACCAACAAAGAATTAGATCTGGACCTAGAAAAGTAGGAGGGAGGACCAAGAAGGCGCCAAAGTACCAAAGACACATTCACACACGGTATTAATGAACTTCTTTGAAATTATCAAATGCTAATGTGTTGACAAAAATGCTAATTATTTTATTTATTTATTAAATATTTATTTATTTGTAAATTTAGTGCCATTATTGAACAAATTTAAGTCCTTACTTGAAAAAGTGAGTTTGCAATTGACCAAATAAAAATAAACAAGCCTTTGAGCTTTGTAAAAGAGCCATCATTATTTACCAAAGTAAATTTGTAAACTAATTAGCTGACAAGCACCAAATTATTTATTGTCAATTAACTGACCAAAAGTTAAGCCATAATTAACATACATGCTAAATAATCAGCATTAACAAATGGGCTACATTTGCACTAGATTTGCTACAATTTAAAACAAAAAAATTATCAAAGCATTGGTTTGCATTATAGATTGATGCTGTACAGTTTTTACAAAAATACTGATGCTCTTTTTTACATTCTTAAAAGAATAATTCAAACATGGAATATGTTGTTTTTTAATGATATTTTCAAATCCAATTTACAAAATAGTGTTTTTTGCAATTTTAAAGCAGATTACATATAGACATTACTCAAAATGCCATTCTGCTTGTTGCATCCCATATATATAATATAAACACATGCATTCATTTAAAATTCTTACTATATATAAAGATAGCACCACCCTACTTTACAATTGAAAATCATTTGTTACACAGTTGTAAACAGTTGTAAAAATGGGGTGCTATCTTTTGAAAAATCACACAAAATAACTAATTACTTCACTTAAAAAATATTCAAACCTTTCAAACCTTTCAAAATGTCAAATAGTTTTTCATCCTTAGAAAATATCAACACATTTATTAACAACCTTATCAATTCTAACAAGGATGCCTTGCCATTAAAATATATTGGCCAACTTGTAAATGATTTATCAAAATTGCTGAATGAATCTGACACCTATGATGTAGAGATTAGGGTTGGAGCAGAACAGGAGGTTAAAACCTTTAAAGCTCATTCAAATATTTTAAAAGCAAGATCCACATATTTTAAAAC